GCCCAACAAGGGACTCGATCCCAGGAACCCGAGATCATGACCTGAGCTGAAGGGAGCCGCTTAACTGACTGAGCCACCCAGGTGTCCCAAATTTACAAAATTTACAAATTTACAGAATTTCTAATAAAACTCTTGGTTTTAAGGAATTTGTAAACTCTATAACATGAATATATATATATATAAAATTAAGAATCTATGCCAAAAGATTAAAAGAGGTTATCTCAAGATTTAAGGGTTATCAGTAGGATTTACAAATAAAATAAAGGATACCTACTTAAATTTGAATTTCAGATAAACACTGAATGGCAGTTTAGAATATCTCAGGCAGTATTTGGAATATACTTACATTAAAAATTCCTTTTTTTATCTGCTAGACATTTTAATTTCTTAATCCTGCATTTTTATTTTCTAAATCTGGGTAACCTAGTCATAGATGTTTTTCTTTTTCTTTTTGTTTTAAGATTTTATTTGTCAGAGAGAGAGAGAGAGCGAGAGAGCGTGAGCACAAGCAGAGGGAGCGGCAGGAAGAGGGAGAAGCAGGCTCCCTGCTGAGCAAGGGGCTTGATGTGGGATTTGATCACAGGACCCCAGGATCATGACCTGAGGCAAAGGCAGATGCTTAACTGACTGAGCCACTGAGGTGTTCCAGATGTTCTTCTTTTCTAATTTTCTTATCTGTATTTTTTAAAGTGTCTGCCATATGTATTATGCATGCAATAAGAAGAAAGAGAAACTAAGATTTTTAAAAACGGCTTCGGTTAGAAGTATTCCAATAATAAAATGATATGCTCGCTCGTTTTTAATTAGAGGCTTTGCTTCCTTGCCTATGGTCCCTGGACGGGAGCATCAGCCTCACCAGGAAGCGTGCTACAAATGCAGAACTCAGATCCACGGAATCTGAATTCACATCTGACGAGATTCCCAAGACATTCCAATGAAAAGCTCTGCTCTAGATAGACCTCCACCAAAAGCTAAGGCTTCAAAACAGTTAAATCCTTTACAAAACAACAAACCAACAAAACAGCTCAACAACAATGCAAGGAGAATCTGAGAATGAGCAGATGACCTGATCCTACGAACCTTCTCAGAAAAGAGAGGCCTCCCAGTGACAAGAGCTCTGGGTCCTTTGTCCTGTCCGTCCGCCCTGGGCTGCCAGGCACGGCCACATGGGCTGCCCAGTCACCAAGTGATACCAGGAGGAACGTGTCATAGGACTTGGCATGAGAACGGCCCCTGGAATTGTATAAAATAGGGGCCCCTACCAGCCCCGGCCTGGAGACTTCAGACAGATACAGGAACTCAGGGAAGCCTGGGAGACTAGTGCGGGGGAAATGGATTAAAAAAGCAAGAGATCGTTTTTTGTTGTTTAGAGGTTCTGGAGGAACTGAATTTGTATTATTTTATTTGTGCAAGGGGGCTGATGTCCTGGTTTTTGTTTGTTTGCTTGTTTTAATAAACTAGACTCTGTCAATGCTGACACAATCCATTAAATACGTGAGGTGAACTCTGGGTAACATTACTGAAGTCCTTCTTTCAGTTGGTACTGAATGTTAATACTGAATAAACATGCACGGTTGGGGCTAACCCCTGAAAATGCCTCCACATTACCTTCCACAGTTAGTAATGGACCGTCTTGTACCAGCAGTTCTAGCCACATTTTGCAAACTTAAAGGCCATGTGGGAAAAAGCAAGACAAAGCAACAAACAAACAAACAAACAACACCCCAAAACCAAAAAAGCATGAAGCCAAAGCTCCATCTTCTGAAGTACCCAAGGTCACTCCTGAGAATGAGCCCAAATTGCAGGACAAACACAGGCAAGCGCCCATCCCCCTCTCACCAGAGCCCCTCTGCTCTGGAGCCCACCTCAGCCCACCTCTTCTCTTCCCATTATCCTGCTACGGGCTTCACCGCACAGAACAGTAGCCAATACAGACTGTGGGTTTTGTTGCTACTGGCGTTTTTTCATTTATTTATGATCTGTTTCTCTCACTAGAATAGAAATTCCTGAGGGCGGGAACTTTGTCTGCCTCATTCATGAGTGCACCCCCAGGGCCTAGACGATGCCCAGCATGGAGGGGACACTCAACAAACACCGTAGAAGGAAGGGATGAAAACAGACTGGCCTGCCCTCCAGCTACGCACAAACACAGTTCACTTTGGTCACTGTTTGCTTTATGTGTTTTCGTCCTTCAATCATAGACTTGGATGTTAGTCAAATATCTTGAGTAGTTTTGTTTCATCTTCCAGTAGATAATTCCTGGGTCTGTCATGTAGCTCTGAGTGAACACTTTTATGATAACTTCTGACACCACTTCAGACTCTAAGTAAATTGCTTCTTCCTATCATGCATCTGCTTCTGGCTTTCATTAGCTGTACTAACATTCTAATCACTCCGTACCACAGTCTCAGAGACAGGAAGACAGAGAGCTCCAGAAAACACTTGTTTTTTTCTTCTTTATAGAAAAGCACTTGAGATCAAACGTGCTGCAAAATAAACCCTCAGTGGTACAGCCACAAAAATACTCCAACCCTTTTTTAAATGTTCGGCAAGGAAGCCAGGGTATTTCTGGGAACATGTGAGAAGGAGAGCCCAGTGCAGTCTCACGGGGCTCCCCAGCCCAGCGGCACTGACAACACGTCGGCAGAATCAAAAATGGAACAGACTGTGGGAAGGCAGAAAGGTTTCCAGAGATATGAGATGAGTGACAGGAAACACATCAATCAACACGCTTAATACTCAGATAGGGTTGGAAATAAGCGGTGGTTGCACTCCGTTTTCCAACGGAATCTTGGGCAATTCAATTAACCTTTTCTGCCACATTCTCCTCACTTATAAATTGAGCACAACAATCTACATAGCAGAGATTGCACAAGGACGCGGTAATAAGTGTGAGTAGATAGCCATATAGCGTGGTACCTAGTTTTATGTGAACTAGCATAAAATCATGGGACCACAAGGGGCTCCAGGGGTCAATCTAGATCTCTCCCATGGGACCACAATAAAACCATTCCACAGGGATTAGACTCTAATCCTTTAAAAAAGGTGTCTGTACAAAGGGATTCCCAGAAAACTCCCCTTTGTTGAGAATGCCTCCTTCAATTTAAGATGGTCCAATCCTGCAGTATTAGTGTGCTGGGCTTTTGCCTTGTCAGTGACCGTAACACAGTAACAGCCTGGTGTAGAGTGTGGATACAGGAGTCAGGCTGACTTATTGCACCAGAATCTGCTCTGTGCTGGACACACGACTTTGAACAAACTACGGCCTTAACTTCCTGAAGCCTCCACTCCTCTAAAATAGCTATCCCGCTCACCCCACAAGGCTGGTACCAGACCCAAGTGAAAAACGAGTAAGGTACTTCTCTTAGTGTCTGGCTCGTGGCGTGTGCCAGATCAACAGTAACACTATTTTCTGGCTGGATAACCAGCCAAATTTTTATTTACAACTTAATTTTATAAATTTTAATCATTTTTGTTTCTTTTTTCTGTTCCCTCCTCAAATTCCTATTTTTCATTTTTAATGTATGTTCAAAATTATAGGGAGAGGCTGAGGAGCCTGGGAAGATTTCTTCTTGATTTCTCCCAACATCAGAGAGGAAGGCTGTGGGGTGTGTGCCTTGGGAAGGCACTGGGACTCTTAGGGACAAAGATTCCTGTATTTCAGAAGTAGCTGTGTGGAAACAACGCCATGAAAGTTTAAGGGACCACAGAGAGTTTAGGCAATGCATACAGGGATGGAAACCAGTGTATTTGGAGAGTAAATATCCTTCCCCTCACATCTAGGCACTGTGTAACTTCTCTGGAGCCCAGTGCACCCCAGGGAGCAGGGGACTACTCCTATAATGTTCCTGAACTCCTGAGTATTTGGATGGACATTTGTGATAATTGAGCATGGGGCTTTATAATTTACCAAGAACTTTCACACTCCTAACTTCTTCTGATCCTGGCAAAAAGCCTATGTGAGAGATAATTACCCCTATTCTAATGCTGTGAATGCAAAGGCTCAGAGAGCTTAATGTCTGTCCTGGGGTCTCCGTATTGCAAATCTGCATACTTCCTACTATGCCATATGTATGACTCACTGAGTCAAGATCTTTTAACTTAACCTTGAAATCTGTCCTTTCCATGTGAGAGTATATTCCGATGTAAAACTGGATACTGTAGACACAAAATTGAATCTACAGCATGCTTACAGTTACATCATAAAAATAAAAACTCAAAGCTATGAGCAGGAAAACACTTGGATATATTATAGCAAAATGGTAGAGGCAGTTACCTAAGTGGTAGATCGTGGGCAGTCTATCTTGCTACTTGTTCTACATTCAAAGTTTCCTTTAATGAACATACGTTCACAATGCAAAATCTAAGTATTGTATTTTTTTTTAAAGTAGCTGGAGAATCAAATAATTCACCCAACTTTGTACAGGAACAGAGGGGCCTCCCCAGCCTCCCCGACCTCCCCACAAATCATCCATATCTCTCCTTCAACTCCTCAGCCACTCGTAGACGTCCCAGCTATTGAGTCAAATTACCCAGGACGGCGTCATCTCTCTGTTGATGATACGCTAGGCAGTGGCAAGAGTCACTTCTAAATTTTGACAGAAGTCCAGATTTTGCCCTGAAGGGACCAATTCATATTCATTCAGAGTAGTAACAAAATAGAAGAAATACTGAATGGAATTCTACAATGAGCTCTGGGTCTTTCTTAGCTACTCATACTTCTCTGAAATAATTCCTGTCTGGAACTTCTTAGAATGTAGCTTTGGAGATAGTGGGGTCAAAGGGAACCAGCTCTCTAAGGTCATCTATTATTCACCAAGGGAAGGAGAACTTCAGTGGGGGCCACTCCTTTGCGTGTCCAGCTTCTGCTCCATCCACAGGCATCCTGGAACAATTTTAGGTGAAAACGAAGGTCTTCTGGCTTTGTTCTCACCTCACAGGATCTCTCAAGAGCAAAGCCCAGAAACTACCTCACCTCTCCTCAAACCAAGCTTGCTCACCTTCGCACAGCCCCGTGGTCTCCAGGTAAAACTGGCCTCTACACTGAGACACACACTTGCCAGAGGTGATGTTCGCGCCAGGTAGCTGCTCAACCTGCAGGCCTTCACCGGGCTTCTTACACCGGACACAGTGAGCGGGCTCTGGACCCAGACAAGTGAGGCAAGAGGAATGACAGGCTGCCAAGAACAAAATGCAGAAAACAATCCAAGGGTCATATATATGTTGCAACCAAGGGGAGTCCCTAATGCAATCGAAACCCCTTAGAAGAGTTCACCAGATACATTCTATCAGAAAACTGCTTTCTCGTGTCCTATACATAGCTCAGGGCGATGATATTCGTGAGACGCCCAGTGACGGTGATGTTAACTGGTCACATCTCTCGGGCCTTGTGAGGGTGGTCAAGCTGGACATGAAAAACCCCAGCAAACTGGCCAATATTGTCTTGGTTCTCCAGATACACATTCATGGAATGATGTCTTAATATCATGGTCTCAGTTTTTGTTGAAGATTTTAACAAGTATCCATACAAAGGCCATAACTGTATTTTTTGCAAAGACGGTCATTGCGGTATTGTCCACTATGTCATCCATCACCCACTCTATAGGCATTCAGGCAACAAATTCCTCCTAGAATTTACGTGAGGAAAGGCTGCTTTCCTAGACAAGAAAGATCCCCTTTCGGAGGAGCAACAAGAATTTAACAACCCATCACTGTTTCTCGTTCTCCTTGGCTACTGGTTGAAATCAGACCCAGACAGAATACAGAAACTACCTCAGGCCCACATTTGACATAATTAACTGTTTACAAGAGCTCTTTGGTATAACTAACTTTGATACAATTAACTCTAAAAGAGTTCTTTAAAAGATTTCTAAATTTTCTTTTTCAGAATATTTATTGTGGCTGCCCTGTTTTAAATATATACATATTTATAACATATACACATGTATACATATATAAATATATATAAATATATATAAATATATACATATTTATAACATATATATACAAATGTATATGTATATATTTATATAAAATTATACAAATATATATTTGTATATAAAAATACACATCAGTATATATAACATATAAATATATATAACATATATAAATATACCTATAAGTATATATATTCTTACAACTATTCTTAAACTCTTTCCCAAGTTTCCCTCCATATAAACATATATAAATTAATTGCATCTACTTGAAGTGTTTGTCCCAGTGTTCTAGTTTCAAAAGACAATGACCCCGCCCTCCCAATGAGCCCAAAGCCTTTTTGGCAAACAGCTATTTAAGACTTTCCATTTCCTTAGCCCAGAGGCATTGCTACTAACTCAGCTCACTCAGCTATATCGTTAACAAAGAAAGGTTCTTCAGGGAAAAAAACAAAATGAAGACTACGAAACACATTAGCAATGCTAGGAGAACATGGAAAAGGAGGAAGTAAGAGTTTTGTTTTGTATTAACGTATAGTAGAGGAAATGACCATCCTCTCAAGGATGGCCAGAAAAGTCATGAATTTCAGGAGCGACATCACAAATATTCCAACATAGTTTTCTCTTCAGATTATTCCTTGGCAATGAAAAAAAAAAAAAAAAAGCACAGAATGTATATACACAGCCACGGAAGATAAACTGTAGGGAAAAAGTGTCCTGAAAAGTAACCTGAATATTTTTCCTCCTGATGGGAAAGTCTCTTAAGAATGGTGAGGACACCAACAGTACCTTTGCAGAGCCCGTGGTCAGGGTAGAAGCCCTCTCCACAGCTGGACAGGCAGTGGCCTTGACGCAGAGCCCAGGGCTGGACGCAGGCTGTGCAGTGTGAGCCCGTGGGTCCAGAGCAGCTGGCACATGAATTGTGACAAGCTGAGGAAGAGAGTGAGAGGGACACCATGGAACTCAGGTGACTCATAAGGGTTCCTTATATGCCAGGAAGCGCCTTCTGTGTCACTCTTAACCTCCTTCAGCTGTCACACTAAGTCGGGGGAAAGATGCTTCAGGAGGTGGTTGGATACCCATGACTGCCCACAGTGACCTTTCACCATCTTTTATACATGTTCTGTTATTTACCAGCTACCCTTTATTTAATGTTTCCATTAAGGGGTTTATGCACATTGCTGCATTTAATCTTCATAGCAATTATGAGGTTGTGCTGATGAGAAAACTGAGGTCTTGGGAAGTTAAAAAATTCACCGAAGATCACAGAGCTAATGAGTAGTAGTGCAGGGATTTAGCCCTAGGTCTGTCTGAACCTAAAACCCCCTACCTGAACAGGGAACAGTGAGAAATTTATCTGTCTGAGTTCTGGGAAAACTGGAATTTTGGCTGGCTTGTCCACTAATTTGTCTATGCCCTTAGCCAAGTCAGGGTCTCTCCAGGCTCAGGCTCCCTGGCATACGCACTGCGAGGTTGGACTAAAGGATCACTTGAGATATTTTTAGGTCTAACATAGGATTTTAAGGAAGACTTACATTAAACAATCTTTATATATGATAATGTCAGGCATGCGTCTCTGCTGCTTTAGTCCTGGGTGATAATAGTGGAACAACTCTGACTGGTTTACAGATGATACCATGGCCTGTCCTAAGGGATGGAATTGAGATACTAGAATACTCCAGAAAACAATGGGCAGGAGCTGGGAGAGAGGAGTGTGGACGTTAGGATGAGACTCTGGAGGACAGGATGTTGTGGAAGAGGGATAAACACTGGGTGGGTAAAGAGGTTGGCAGACAAGAGGGACGTTGCTAAGACAAGGCTGTAGGGCAGATTAAAACATTCTGCGACAAACCCACACTATAGGTGAAGTGATGATATGTATGTTTGTTTTGGAGGAGAGGGGCAATCAAGGTGCCCCAGGCAGCACTAAGTTCCCGGAGTTGTCTCGAGGGAAAGACACAAGTCAAGCACATGTAAATAGAAATTTACAACACCTCAAATAGGAATGTTTCATAGTTAAAGTCATATAAATCTGAAAGAACAATATATAAATAGCACATAAGCCCAAATTTTCAATAGATAATGGACTTCGGCTTTACAAGCTATCAAATTTGGTTAATTTTTTTATTTTTGTGATGTGTTGTAGTTGCTGATGTATATGCTTATGCCATCTAAGAAATGATTTTGTCATACCTATGACCTAAGTTAGTGAAGGTTTATAAGTACATAAGGACTATATGAAGATCTTAAAGATGTTCTTCATGGTGAAAAGGACCAAATGATCTCTAGTGGTGATTGATATGCATAAGTCTTCTACTTCATCACTCGAGTCCCACAGCATCCACCTACTCCTGCACCAAATACACACAGGTTTTATAATGAGAAACCTATTCCTTTCAATTTGACATCTTCTCATCATACAAATTCTTAAGTGAACATCACAGAACACTAGGTAGTGTCAACGTGTCAAATGCGTTTTGATGATGATGACGATGACAATAATGATCATCCATGACTTACCTTTGCATCTGCCAGTGGCCGCAGCATAGTACCCATGGGGGCATTCAGCAATGCACTTCCCATCATGCAATACTGTCTTCTCGGCACAGGTAAGACACCTGGGACTACTGGGACCACAACTCTTACAGGATTGGTCACAAGCTAAGGGGGAAGAAACCCACCAGAGAAAGTCAATCATGAGCAAAGGGAGCACAGAAGTCTACTCTTTACAATGTCCACAGTTGGTATCAACATGGAAATCACATTGTCTCACTGCTCCACTGAGTTGTTTCTTTGATTCTAACATTTCAAAGTACTCTGTACTTTCTGTTTTCACAGTTGAAGGAAACCAGATAATTACTCATTGAACCAAGCATAACAAATACTCTGAGGCACACCCACCAGCGTATCCAGTATAATATAGGATTTAAAGTCAAAATGGGGTTGGGGGTAGGGATGCCAATCCAATAGGGGTTGAAGATATTCTCAAACTCATTAACCATCAGAAAAATGCAAAGAAAGCCGGATGTCCCCATATGACTAATAACCAGAAAAAAAGTCTGAAGCTTGATAATGCCGAATGGTGGCAAAGATGTGGACGAGACAAGCTTCACACTTGAGTGTGTGGATGCTGGTGAGGTAGCCGGCACTACTTAGTCAAATAAAGAATCTGGAACGTGAAGAAACCATCAGTTCCGCTCCCAGTTACCCACCCCAGGGCAGCTTCCATACAGGTTCATAAAGGGACGTGCTTGGGGCCGTTCCCTGGTGCTCTCTAGTGACAGCATGGGGCTGGAGGGAAGTGGAGAGTCCGTTGTCAACAGCGGACGAGTGAGACATGGGGGCCGCAGCCCAGAGAGCTCTGTGCAGCAGCAAGAAGCAGAGCACCAGGTGACAGAGCAACACAGGTGATTCAAACCATGATGCAGAGTGAAAAAAGAACCTCGTGAACTCTGTAACACATCGTTTGAGGGGAAAAAAAGGGTACGTACACTCAAAAGAATACTCATTTTACATGAACCCATAACAATGAAAAGATAAAACAAATAATACATCATATGTTAATTTTAAAAAAGACAAAAAAAATTAAAATAGGGGTGTCTGGGTAGTTTGGTCCGTTGCGTGTCTGACTCTTGGTTTCAGCTCAGGTCATGACCTCGGGGTGGTGCGATGCAGCTCTGTGTCAGTGGCCACGCTCAGCGCGGAGTCTGCTCAAGATTCTTTCTCCCTCTTCTTCTGCCCCTCCCCCACTCACACACGCATGTGTGCAATAAAAAATAAATAAAGGAAGTCTTAAAAAATTGAAATAGTTGCCTTGGCGAGGAAGGGAAATGACTCTAAAAGGAAGGAAAGAGAGAAAAAAGGAGAGGAGGAAGGAAGAGAGGGAAAGAATGGCTAACAGAAACCTCTGAACTTACTTTGATTTATTATGTTAGCTAGAGTCAGAAAAGCCCTTTATAATAGCACAAGTACTTAAAAGAGTAAAGAATGAGGAGGTTTTTGTCTGTTGAATTTCCCCACCCTTTATATCTAACATTTGTAAAATTCAAAGCATGAACCGCCAATGAGCTCGGCTGCTGTGAATTCTTCCAGCCGGAGCACACCGCCGTGTATGACAGGTTGTGCTGGCTTTTTCTCAGCACTTGACTTTGAGATTTCTAGAGACTCGGGCTGCTCAGTTATAAATTATTGAGCCAACACCAGCCCGTCTTTATCGTGAGCAGCCCTAAGCTGAACTGGAAATAAGTCAGCATTATCAGCATCAGACGTTTTAATTAACATCCCGATACCAATCAGTGACTTGGTTCACTGACGTTTTAGAAAATATTTATATGAACACTTCTGAAGGCATTTGGTACAAACTTGGAGAACCCTTAAGAATTTTAGGAAAAGTGCAAACTGCAGTCTTTATCCAAAGGCCTGTGGGTCAATGTCCGTGGTGTCACAAAGTCGTTCATTGTGCTAAGCACACGGCAGGCGATCGGTCATTACTCGTGGATCAATGGATTCCTTGGCTGACTTTCAGCAATGGCCCATCCTCCTGTTGGGGAGATTTTTTTTTTCCTGGTGCTTTGTTTCCCAACGTATGCAGATAGCATTTCAGATGCACACTTTCTCCCTAAGCACCTGTTCAGCAGTCTTCTTTTTTAACGCTTCCAGTCAGCAAGGAGCTCTGGCTTTCTTTATCCAACCTCTCGGCCCAAATAGATTTCCACCCCTCACCACCTCAAGGCTCACACTAATCCCTCATTTTTAAAAATCCATCTTTTAAATACCCGCTTCCCCAGCAGAAGTCGCTTTCTCAATCCAGATGTAACGTCTCAGGAGCAGGTCAGTGTCACAGCCCCTCATCAGGGACAGTAGCCAGCCTCCTTGGGGACGTACAGGCTAAATGCCTTTGGACTGGTGTGAACTTGACGTCTGCTGACCTTTAGGGAACGCATCTGGCTTAGCTGAGCAGGAAAGCGGCGCTGGCAGAAAAAGATTAAAACACAGCAGCCTGGCCTTTCTTTCCTTGTTCTCTCCTAACTGCACACAAAAGCCGCTGTGACTCGTCCACATCGCGTGAGACTTTCATGCCAGCGAAGCCGACGGATCTCCACACAGCTTGAAGCAAGCAGCTGCGGACGGCTAGCTCTCTTCCCCAAGACACGTGGATCTGTCAAGTCCCAAAGATCATCTCACTTTTGCTGTTGCCCTGCTCAGTAAACAAAACGAGGACAGTAACTCAAGAAAGTTTTATGGGCTGCACATTTCTATTGATTTAGTGGACTTTGTTATTAAAAAAAGCCGTCATCACAGCCTGTCAGTAGGTATGGCCGTCACAGTAAACTCAGTCCGGACCTTCCATTCACTGTCAGGTGCCCACCCGTGGACTTGGCAATGTCCACAGGGCAGCGGCGGGTCTGAAGACTGACAGGAGGATGGGTGGACGGGGGAGAAGAGGATCAAGGGAGGCCAGAAGGAGAAGGAGAGAGAAACAGCAGAGGTGCGGAGAGAGGCGCGTCCTTACAGCCGGAGAGCAGTTAGGAGGCAGGTAAGATCGAAAGCCAGAAGACGGAGGCTTGAATCCCAGCTCTGCCCCGTATTAGCTACGTGACCTTCAGCAAGTTTCTTAACGTCTCTGTCCTATCCGGAAAATGAGGACAATGACAGCAATCGTTGGGAGGAGCAGACACCAAGCACAGCACTTGTGCCGAACGCCGGCCTGTATCAGCTCCGTCCTCCAACAGCCCTCTGAGCCGGTGCGTCTCAGCCTCTCACTGCTGCTGCGACAAACAACCCCAGACTCACTGGTCTGAAACAGCACAGAGTTATGACCTTACAGTTTTTGAGGTCAGATGTCCTAAAGTCAAGACGTCAGCAGGACTGCGTTCCTGCCGGAAGCCCTGGGGCAGATGCATTTTCTTGTCTCCTCCCCGATTCTAGAGGTCGCCTGCACGCTCTGCCCCTTCTTGGCATCACGCTGACTCCTGCTTCTGTCTCAGATCGACTTTTCAGACTCCTGGAAGGACCCTTGCGGTTACGCTGGCCCGGTGGTCTCCCCCATCTCCGGATCCTTGACTGAATCACCCCTACAGAGTCCCTTCTGCCATCTAAGGCAGCAGAGTCACAAACCTGGCTATTAGGACGGAGGCATCTTTGAGGGGCCATTATCCCGTCTCCCACAGGGCTACGGTTACCCCCGTTCTACATAAGGGAGACTGATGCACGGAGAGAGCACTCAACGTGCCCAAGGTCGTGCCTCCCCCATGCTTTCCTGCCTCTCCGTGGGTTAATGTTTATAAAGCGCTTGGAAGGAAGCACTAAGTTGCGTTAACTCTTAACCACCTTGGCGTGGGCATTAAAGAAAGAAAACACAGTAACAGCTTCAGCTTTAAGTCAGCGACACTGACACAAAGGTGGGTCTGGGCTCGCTGCTCTGGGAGCTCCTTTGTCTCCACGGACATTCAGGTGCAGTCTGGCACCTTTGTAGAACTCGGAATTTGGAGGAAGGAAGCCCAGCTCCTCTCCCTGAAGCTGGGGGTCTGGAACAAGCAGCCGGAACCTTGCAGGACGGGGCCAGAACCAGCCCCGTAACCACCACGCGCTCATGAAGCGGGGGCGTGAAAGGCCATCCTGGCAGTTGAAAAAAAGGGCTTGCAAACTGCTAAAACACTGTCGACTTAGCGGCCAATTGCATATTTCCTTAAACATTTCATCTCTTTGAGAGAGAGAGAGAGCAAGCACGAGACAGGGGAGAGGGAGAAGCAGGATCCCCGCTAAGCAGGGAGCCTGACACGGGCTGGATCCCAGGACCTGCAGGACACTGGGCTCATGACTAGAGCCAAAAGCAGAGACTTAACCAACTGAGCCACCCAGGTGCCCCTTCCATTTGCATATTTGTTGACTAAAAGAAATGTTATGATTTTAATAAAACAAAGGATGCTGGAAGAAAGAATGCTGCTCTGGCACACAGAGCAGGCACTTACGGCTGCAGATCCCCTGCCGGTTGTAGAACCCGAGGCCACAGCTGCTCTCGCAGACGCCCTCCCTCAGCACGCGGAGGGGATCTCTGCAGGCCAAGCAGTGCTTCTCCGTCGGACCCCAGCAGGCGGCACAGGACTCGTGGCAGACTGCAGGCAAACGGCAACACCCGTGAACAAGCTGTAGTAGAAAGGACTGGTTGCAATTTTTCTTTCAAAGGTTTAAGAATTCACGAAGAGGATGTTGGAGACTTCATTCCCAAATTGCGATGCACATATGTATGCCCCAGGAGAAAAACACACCCCCCACCAAAAATAACTATTTCTGTTGGCCAGAAGTACAACTGCAATAAATTACTGCTCGGAGACTTGGAATGAGAAATCGAGGCTTTTGAGTAATGGGAATCCCAGGAAAGGGAACCATAATTTTCTAGACAAAGATGGTCTAATGAGATCAGATGGGCCTCCATCACCGCGCCACGCTGTCTTTCATAACCAGACACTGGAGTGTTGACAGGATCACCAGTCGTGCTTCCAGCACCATGAAGAATCAGCAAGGAGGGATGCCACGTGCTCTCAACCTTGATTAGACCTTGAAACACCCGCTACTGCTGGATTTCCACTGCTGTCTCCCTGCCTTCCACCCGTCTTCTCTCTCTCTATCCCCCCTCCCCGTTCCTTCCTTCCATCCTCCCAAAAGACTCTTCTAGTCCTCCCCCCACCCCCCCGCTGGGCTCTGGTCCTCCACCCCCACCCCCCCGCCACTAGCTTCTGCTCTCAACATGCATCTTGACATACTTCTCTCCTACAACTTAACTTGCTAAGTATATGTTGTTCCTAAACCAGAGTTGTTCCTTTAACACTCAGAAATATCCTCCTCTTCCAGTATTTGGTTTTTACTATTTGTGTTTGCTTTTCACCTTCACATGTCTGCAAAGAGAGATCTATTCCGAGCAATCGGTGTTATTAAAAGTCGATTAACTGTCTGTATGCCTAACCCCAACCTATGCTCCTGTTAATGCATCCTCATTTCCAAAGTGTTTGCTTCACCGTGGAGCACAGCCTGTTTGGCAGAGGCACTCAATCTGACCAAAACTGGTGGGGAAAATGCCTTTGCTGATTGGAAGAGACTGGGGACTCTCTACCTAAGTAATTCCATTCTGTATCCCTTTAGAATCAGAAAAGGGTGCCTTCATTACTAATCTCAAGGTCCAATCCCCTCCTCTCCACTGGAAACTGCACAGGAAAGCCTTAATTTCAGACAACTTTCCTCCCTCAACAAATTCAGAGATAATTACAAATTCTGTTAAATGCTATAGGGTACCTGGCTGGCTCAGTGTGTCAAGTGTCTGACTCTTGATTTCAGCTCAGGTCGTGATTTCAGGGTTGTGAGATCGAGCCTCGTGTGGGGCTTGGCACTGGGTGTGGACTCTGCTTGAGATTCTCTCCCTCCCTCTCCCTCTGCTCCTTCCCTCCAGCTTAAAAAATGTTAGGAAGGGCTCTTTGATAAAGAATGACGCGGTGGGAGTGGAAGCAACCAACTTGAAGTAGATCTAATGGATGGGAAGTTGCCAGCCCTGGAGAGAGCCAGAGAACAGCACCAACAAAGTCCTTGAACAGGAAAAGAGATCAGGGGTTCAAGGATCTGAAGGCTGCCCCCGTAGTGAAACCTAGCAGACACAGAGGGACCAGCAGGGCACAGAAGGCCACAGTGGACTCATTCATGGCTGGAGGGTTAGGCAGAGGCCCAATCAAACTTGACCTTGGAGGTTAGGGAAAGAAATGAGGATTTTACCCTAAGTGTAACGTGAAGTCTTAAATAGGTTTAAGCAAGATCAACACACGTCCTGACTTTCAAAGCTCTGTCTGGCTGCTGTCTGAGAGGGGGAAGGACTTGCATGTAGGGAGACAGACCAGCATGGAGTCCACTGCTCTGGTCCACGCAGAGGTGACAGCAGCAGGTGAGAAACAGGGTTGGAGGAAGGTTGCTTATTTACGAACTCCACACTCAGTACTTCATTGCTACTGAACACCTTCGTTATAGTTTACAATTAATGAATAATATTAATTTTATAATATAATTGTACTGTATATATAGTTTAGCACCTTATTTATATTTTATTTTATATTTATATTTTATAACCATGTTACATGAGATTACTGTTTATATCGGGATAACCTATGGAAGTGCATTATAATTAAAGATATGGATCAAAGATCACAGTAACAAAGTCCACCCTGAACACCCATGAAATCGGTCATTAGTTCACGTTGCCCGCTGCCCTTCAACCACTGCCTAGAGTCGCCATCCAAGCGTCTATCCCTGCTTGTGCCTCAGCCTCACTGACCCAGGAGTCGCTTCAAAGCCATCTCCTAACCAAACAAACAAAACAAACGAAAAATCCAATCCCATTCCTAAGAAGGTGTGCGGGGCTAATCCACCCGCGTTCAGCAGAAGCACCTGCCCCACGCAGGGTGCCGTGGCCAGCGCACGGCCCTCCCAGCCAGCCACAGGTGGGAAGTCTGCTAGCGGAAACATTCAAACCAGCCCACAACCTGAGCTCACCGGTGGCATTGCACAAACTGCACCGGGGAGCAAGGCCCTGAGAGGAGGATGGGAAGAAAGACTAAAACGACAACAGGGGCCAGACCGCAAATGTCATGGAAGGCCAGGTGAGGCCCTGGGACTTTCATCTGTAAGAGTTTTAGTCAGTTTTGCTTCTTAGAGAGTTTACTCTGCAGTGGGGAGAGGAGAGGGTAATTGACCCAAGACATTCTTAAGGGATGAAATCGTCTTTGTCTGGGGAGCACAGAGGAGGTGAGAAATTAAAGCACGACCCCCTAGTTCTCTTCGGGGATTGGCCGGGAGTGGTGCAGACATTCAGCTGCACTGGCTTTAAAATAGTAAAAATACCTCCAACCTGGCTGGCAAATAGCGTCATCCTGGTCCCTCCCCGATAACCCTGGTTTCATCCCTGGGAAACCTAGAAGACACTGTGCTCCAGCAACCGAAAGGTCTGGCACAGGGGAGGGTCTCAGGGGTGCCCACCGCCCCCGCCACCTGCTGACCAATCTGATTTGTGCCGTACTACTTGTTAAATTTCTTTTTAACACTATCCCCAGTGTTGTCAATCAGAACAGGGCCAGGGAATGAGCAGGATAGAGGCTACAGACTTAGGGACGGCACTCAGGCCCATCACAAACTGAGCTGCACCTAACATTTCAGCCCTGCCTTGGGCTACCTCCCTGGAGTAGGCCAGGTCCACGGAACAGGGTGCCCTAGGCTTGCCATCTACCGGTTCGTGGGCTCCTGACGCCCCACCCGGGATTCACCCAGTTGGCAATGCCTCCAGCTCCTTCCACAGCCCCTGTAATCCTGGTTACACTTGAGAGGCGTAAGTTGTCACTACTTCTGGGAAGCTTTGCTGAACTCGTCCAAACAGTCCCTCCTTCCTCTGTGTTCCTGCAGCTCAGTGGACATCCTCTCTTCAGCTGTTGATCTGACTGTCCTAATTATCTGGTTACAGATCAGTCCCTTTCAACAGAATGTAGTATCCTCCAGAACAGGGGCCACCTTGGAATCATCTCCAACCCCCAGTGTCCAGACTGACAATTGGCACAAAGTCAGTGTACATTAAATGTATGTTAAATGAATACACAGTTTTTTTTTTTTTTTACTGGTTATGACAGTCATCCTATCCGTTACCTTCTACATGGAAACAACTAACCACGACATCATAGTCTGAACAGAAACAGGTGATAACTTCAGATAGATAAACTTGAGGCTATAAATTTACCTAATACATAAATAAAAGTCCAGATCTCCTTACGATGACAAGTACTTATGGCATGTCTGTATAGAGTACCAACTGGAGGCCACCTTCTCTGTTTCCATGGCAAACAAAAGGCATGTTCGATGGTCAGGCAAGTCCACAGAAGGGATTTTTATTTCTTCAATATGGGACTATGCTGAGCTGCTATTTCTTTTTCTTTTCTTTTCCTTCTCTTCTTGAGCTGTCTCTCCTTATAATGATGTACTCCTACTGTGTTTTGCAATTGATTTCTAATTTCTAACACTGAACATATGCTACTGCAGATAATCTCTTCTTCTAGGCTGGTTTCACATGTGGCTTTTCTTACACTTGGCTTATTAGGAAAAGTAGAAGGTCACTCCCTGACTTTTTGCCCTAATTGCTCTTAGTGATACATTTCAGATCACTCAGGGTTTGAATTGTATATTGTGAAAATGTGGCAATAAATTTAAAAAGAGGGCTAATGAGAGAAAACCATCTTCTTATCTTACATGTGGCACATGATTTATTTAGGAAAGCCCCTGACTTTTCTAGAGCATAGCAAGACATGTGTTGGCTTGCTGAGCAATTCATTTCAAAATGAAAAGGAACAAATTACTTTTCTTTCAGCAACTCTATATTGAAACCAGACTCTAAAAACAAGAAACTTCCTTTTGTTACTTGATAATTTTGAGATAGAAGATGGCTGTAAAAAAATTGTAACCTGTGCTTCTCTAAGTATAAAATGCAGCCCCTTTCCAGGGACATGTTAAAAGCACTTGTTACAGGCAACTCCTCATTTTCCAAGAAGCCTTCCCAGACCCCAGTGAGCTCAGCCTGCAGTTCAAAATGTCCTTCAGAAATGAGAAGGCACTTTGGTCCCTCACTCTCCCATGGCCTTTTGGAATACGTTTCTCAGCCATCCCCAGGGAATTGCACACTCGATCAGCAGGCCCTTTCGGGGTCATCAGGCTGCGGTTCTGCTTTCCAAACCACCACGGGGGTTTTCACCAGCAACTACGCAGAAGCAGCCAGAGCCGTAGACACAAGCAGCTGTGTCGTCCACAAGTCAAGCTCCTCCATTCCCGTCCATATCCATTTTATAGCAACCGCTAGCTTTCGTCCTCGTCACACAAATGACGGAGAAGTACTTGCCAAGTTCTAAAGTATTATCAGGAGACGGTGGGTAAATTTCCAATAAGAAGCTCTTGTTGGGGGCACCTGGGTGGCTCAGTGGGTTAAGCCTCTGCCTTCGGCTCAGGTCATGATCTCAGGGTCCTGGAATCAAGTCCCGCATCGGACTCTCTGCTCAGCAGGGAGCCTGCTTCCCCCCTCCCTCTGCCTGCCTGCCTCTCTGCC